TCCTCCTCCTCCTCCTCCTCCTCCTCCTCCTCCTCCTGCCTGGCTTCCCACCGCTCCCTCTGTTCGGGGCAGCCTCTGCCGGCTCCCACGCCCTTTATTCCAGCCGAGCTTCTCCAGCAGCGTTAGCCAGCAGAAGTATCTGTTGTTCACGGATAGGATTAGGCTGCTTGTCCCCCTTTTCCCATGGATATGTGTGTGTACATACAGCAAATTTCACCCACAGTGATGCCATCTGCCCTCCCTTTGAGCTGGGGGCACAGGAGGCTGGCACCGGCTGTGAGCTGAGCAAGCCCCAGGGACCAGGGGGACAAAAGCAGTGTCCCAGTGGTGGGACAGAGCAGGGAGAAGAGCTGTTAGAGCTGGAGCAGGTGGGAGGCTGAGCATCCTGCCCAACATTGCCCAGCCCATGACAGCACCAGGCAGTGGGATGGGAAGGAGAACCCTGGAGCAAGTCCAGCTGCTGCCCTGGGGACAGGAAGGGTGGGATGTGCCTGCAGGAAGCCAAGAACCATGAAACAAGCATCTATCTGTGTGAAAGTTCCTTATGATCCTCTGGTGTCTGTGGAACAGCCCAGCTGTGCTGGAGTAAGAGGTCAGTGCCAAACCAGAGAGGTGCCCTGACAGGGACACACATCAGACAGCCAGAGCCACCTCCTCCAGACAGCACAAGCTGACAGGATTCACCCCCTTCTCTGACTCACTGAGCAGCTGAGTGACACAGCTTAACCTCTTTTGGCTTCTTAGGTCATGTCCACGCTCACAGGGGTGGGTCCCTGGCAGGGCTGAGCAGGTGACTGATGCTGAAAGCCTCGGGTGTCTTCCCTGGTGAGGTGCCCCAGGAGCTTTGGGTAGCAGGATCCCAACAGACACAGCCCAGGCCAGGACACTCCACCTTCAACATGGGTTCCCACAGGAGGGTCACCAGCCCTGAAGGTCATCTGGCAGCACCCATTCTGCACAGCCCAGACAAATCCTTTGACCTGGATCAGAGCCTGTAGCTTCAATCTGCCTCTGCTTTCATGTGCAACTGAAGCGAGTTATCAAACCCAGAGAGAACCACAAACTGCGTGAATAGCTTCACTTAGCACACGCATCCTGCAGACAGAAATAGTGGGAATGGCTATCAGAGCCATCCATTCAACCATCCATCCAAACTCAGACCAATATGCAAGCAATTTCCAGCCAAGCCAGAGCAAAGCTGGGTCATTTTTGATTATTGTTTCAGAGGTGCCAGCTTTCCCTGCTAATTATAGGCTTGCCTCCAGCTAATAGGATTTGTGGAAACAAAAGCATTACCAGCACAAACATTGCACAGGGCACAACCAGCACAAGCTGGGAATTTTCCATCCAGAAATGCCAAGGGCTGGATGCTTGAAATGCCAGTCTTATCCAGTCTGAGGTGAGACAGGGTGGTCTTGGGATTTATTTTCAATGAATTGCTGGTTTGGTTGTGGGTGTGTATCTAAGGGATCAGATCATTAGAGAGGGTTTCCTTGGCAGGGGAATTATTTAGGTTCCCCAGTGCTCATTCCAGTCACCAAGGACTGACTGAAGTCAGGCTGGGAATGGGTGGTTCATGCTCCTGCAGGAGGGAAGTAAAACAGGGTGAGCTGGTGGGGAAAGTGGGGTGATGGGGGAGTGGGGGGTGGGTGTAGTGTGTGTAGAGCTTATTATCAAATCTTCTGGAGCTCCTTGTCCTACTAATTGGATTAGGGACTCATCTGCATGAATAAATCCCAGAGTAGGTAAGAGGGTAAGCTCAGGGGACCTTGAAAATGCAGTGGTGGTTTGATCCTGGGGGGTGCTGAGTGCCTGGGGTGAGTTCTGGGGATGCTGCTGGATCAGGCTGGGGATGGCTGTGCAGGGATGGCAGGGCAGAGAGGGCACTTGAATAGGACCTCAGGCAGGGCTGCCACTTCAGTTGCCATGGGAATTAGGGAGCTGGATTGTGGAACCATAGAATGGTTTGGGTTGGAAAGGACTGTTAAAGGCTATGCAGTTCACACCCCTGCAGTGAGAAGGGGCACCTTCCACCAGCCCAGGTTCCTCAGGGGTGTTTGCTCTCCAGGGGCCACCGTGACCAAGAGCAAGTCTCTATCCCAGAGCATATGAAGGCTGGATATCCTGAGTCACAAGAAGTCTCTACAGACTGAAGGTCTCAAAACCTCATGTTCAAATGGCTGCTCCAATCCCATCAGAGAAAACTGGGAAAGGGCAATCAGGTCCCTTCAGCTATTTCTAGAAATTGCCTGAGACCCCAGCCAGCAACACCCTGGAGCAGTAGGCAGGGAAGGAGAAAGGTTGCTCCTTGCTTGTTTTCCTTGTATTTTTTCCCCTCCAGCATGTTATTCCTGGCAACCCAGGTTATACAGCTGAAGGGCTGATATATTTATGTTTGTTTTCTGGAAATGAACTTCTTGCTTTGCTTCCCAGCTCCCTGAAGAGTCGAAGCTCTTCTGGGGAGGGAGGGATGCATAGAACCTGCTGAGCCCAGAGGAGCCAACAGTGCTCCCTACCCCTGGAGAAAACCACGAGCCCTGCACAGCCATAGGGGTAACCATGGGAAGCATCAAACCTGCAGAAGAGAAGGAAACTCTGCCCAGGTCCCAGAGTAAGTGAGAAACAGTGATGAGGAAAATTCTCCATGGCTCATCTGTCCTCTGATTCTTCAGCAAAGCCTTTTGTATTTGTTCCAGTCACTTATACCCCAGGCTGAACTTTGTGCTGTGGCTCCTTGCCAGACCTGTCTGAGATGAGCCCGCTATGTTTGTGTGTCATAGCAGTGAACCAAGAGCTTGCTCTGTAAATTTTTCCTGCCATTACTTGTGTTTGTGCACCAGAAATCAGAGCATCCCCATGGTCCAGAGAGATGCTCACAGGTAAATAAACAGGCAGGTGCACAGTACCCCCCCCTTGCAGCATCTTTTACTAAGTTATGAATCGTCTGCCTGGGTTTGGAGCTGGATTTTAATTAGTTGATATTTAATTAGTTATTCACCCAGTCTTAAAGTCAGATACTCTGTGCAAAAGAGCTCAAGTTTTTCCCCCATCCAGAACGCGGAGGGTTTCAGTGAGAAGAGTCCCTTGTTGGAAGTGTAGGGGTGTCAGGGGCTGGAATGAGAGTCACACCCTTCCCTGTGCCGAAACCACTTCTCAGCAAGCTCAGCTCTGTATACCAACCTCCCACCCCTCTGGGGAAATTCCCCCCATCCTGGGATACAGGGGCAAGTGGCAGTGGCCAGGGGACCAGCAGCTGTCCCCGAGGCTGTCAGTACCCCCGGGATATGACAGAAATGTGGGTGCTTACCAGCCGGGGTCCCCGAGCCGCTGCCTGCCTCCAGGGGAGCCGTCTCAGCGCTGGCAGGAGAGGAGGATCTGGGGTTTTGCCTCCCCTCCCCTGACTGCTGCATCCTCCACAGCCCCTGTTTATATATATTTGTTATTTATGGAGCACGTGATGACATCCTAAGGAGTTTAGAACTCCGATGAAAGACAGGGAGAGGTGAGAGGCTTTGAAGTGTCAGGCCAGCAAAGGGATCACTTCAGGGGTTTGGTTTGTTTTTATTCCCCTGGCATGACTGGCTGCAGAGGGATAAAGTATTTAGCTGATTGCTCTGCTCTGCGGGCTGGCACTTAGCCAGGAAAGAGAGCACTGTCCTGTGCCTGATCCTGACTTCTCCAACAGCACCATAGGAAGCCAAAGGCAGCCCTGCCCAGAGTGGATGAGCTTTATTTGGGGAAGGATGGGGAGGCTGCTTGTTGTGCCAGGCATGATCTGTGCTTGGGCTTGAGCAGGGGGGCGCTTCTCAAGAGAATCAGCTGACTCCTTGTGGGATGGGGAGTCAGACTTAAGGTTTCTTGCCCAAAGAGCTTTTCCCAAAACCCAATCATCTCTCCCCCGTGCAGCCCTCTGTCCCTGGGAGCTGTTACATAAGAAACTGGACAGGCAGAAGCAGCAATGTTTGTCCTCATCAAGACACGTGTAATAAAAGGGGGATTATCCCAGGCAGGAGCATGATGTTGGCATCATCATTATCATTGGGAACAAGATGCAGCCCTGAAAGGAGCCTGGAGCAGGAGGCAAGAGCTGGCTTTACTCCACTGGAGACATTTCCAGGGCAGATCTGGACCTGCTTTAGCTTCCAGCCATGGGAAAAATGACCTGGAGCTACACCCTTATCTCTCTCTTTTAAGTTTTTTCATGGAATCGAAACAGAAATATGACCCAGCAGCTTTTTGCTCTTCGGAAATGGCATTTTGGAGCAACTCCCAGCCATTAAAACAGCCCAGCAGAACAGAGGTTGGCCCGTGGCTGGAATAGTCAATCAGGGATGCCGCATTCCACAGTTTTAGCTGGGTCTGTCTCTTCCTGCTCCCACACAGCTGCAAAGGGTCAACAACTGCATTAAATTAGAGCCACAGCAGTGTGCCTAGATTTGCATATTTAGCAGCTCTCTCAGCATCTTCAGAGAGCCCCGAGCTGTCGCTGCGGCTCCGCAGCCGGGCTGGTCCCTCTGCTGGAGTACCCACTCAGGAAGACAGCAATTATCTCCGGGTAGGATTTGCAGCGAGGGGTGACATGTGGGAGGCAGATGAATCACGGCTCGGCCCCCCTCCCCGTGCCAGGGTTTGGGAATGAAGCCATGCACACGCAGCTCAGGGCTCCCCGG